GGCGGGGCCGGGCGGGGCCAGGCGGGGCCCTCAGGCCGCCTCCGGCTCCTCCGGCGCCTCCTCGCCCCGTCGCGACGCCCCGTCACGCTGGCATCACCACAAAGCGCCGCTCCGCTGGTATACTTCAGCGCGCACATTTTAATCTCGTTTCATCGGTTTGCTCATCGTAGTGCGTCAAGCCAGTGACGTGCTCGGGCGTAAGAGCGCGGTCTAGCCGGACGCCTCCGGGGCCGGCTGCCCGGCGGTCCTCGCGCGGTGTGTGGCCCGGGCCCGCGGGGACTGTTTAGCACAACACGGACGCGGGACAATTTTCAAGCGAAACACGGCAGATTTGTCCCTGAAGTCGTCCCTGACAAATTGGTTGTTACCCCCGGCTACAGGGCTCGACCCGGCCCCCCGGACCTGGCCAGGCGCGTCAGCCGCGGCGCGGCCTACAAAGCCAGGGGCAAAACAGTGACAGCAGCAAGTGACCCGCCCGCGCGACTCACCGTCGTCCTCGTGCGCCAGCTGGCGCATGCGCTGCACCTCCTGCGGCGGCATGAAGAGCGCCCCGAGCGCGCGCACCTCGGGGTCCCGCATGAGCTGCTCGGCGCGCTGGCCGGCCGGGCCGTCCTCGCCGCGCGCCAGCAGCTGCACGTTCCGCAGCAGCAGCAGGTCGAAGGCCAGCAGCCCGAAGGACACGAGGCTCGTGGCGTTGCTGAGCACGGCCGGGTCCGTGGGGTACACGAGGGAGGCGAGCGGCACATTATCGCCGTCGGCGGCCGACAGGCTCGTGTTGTAGTACATCTCCCGCAGGTGGCGCAGCGCCGGCCCCGGGTCCGCGCGGTACAGCGACGCGTTCACGGCGCCCACCATGTCCTGCCAGTCCTGCCCCGCGCGGCTGGCGGCCAGCCAGTCCTTGAGTGCGTGCAGGCGGTCCTGCACGAAGACGAACACGGGGCTGTCGGCCTCCTCCGGGGCCTCGCCGTCGTAGTGGAAGGTCTCGTCCACAGCTTGCGGGGGCTCGTCGCTCAGCGCGTGCCTCCACTCCGGCGCGCTCGCCGCCTCCGCCATCATGGGGTCGGCCTCCGGGGGCGGGCGCAGCTCCTGCGCGGGGGCCCACGGCCCCATTGGGGGCGGCGGGGGCGGCGCGTCCAGCGGCTGCGACCAGGCGCGAGGGGGCGGCGGCGGCCGGCGCGGGGGCGGCTGCGGGGGCGGCACCGCACTCTGCAGAGGTTCGCGCGGAACACTCTTCTGTGGGAGGTGTCTGTACTCCAGCTGCGGTGTCTCTGCCACCTCCTGCACCTCTGGCACCTCTGGCTCGGGGGTGGTAGTAGATGTTGTGCTGGTCGTCGTCGTCGTCGTGCTTGTTGTCGTGGACGTCGTAGTTGAAGTTGAGGTGGACGACGTCGCGGGGGTGGCGACAGCGTCCGTACTTGTCGCGTCTGGCTGTTGCACCTTCTCCACCTGGCCCTTGCGTTTCTTGGGGGCGTGCACCACCGGCGAGGGCTGCGCTGGCTGCGGTGGATGCGCTGGCTGCGCTGGCTGTGCGGGCTGCCGGTCTCGGGGGTGGGAGTGCACAGGGGGGTGCGGCTGCAGCTGGGGCGCCACCCTCAAGTCCTTGAAGGGGTCCCTGCTGGGCGCGTCGTGCTGCGCCGTGGTGGCCATCTTAGTGGCGGCGCTCAGGCCCAGCCACAGAGTGATGCCCACGAACACGAAGGTGACGACGAGGGCGATGCCGGCCGCCAGCACCCAGCAGCGCACCCCGCGGTGCTTCTGCTTGTCCGGGACGCGGAGCACACCGCCGTGCTGCAGGCCGTGCAGGTGCATGCCGTGGGCGAGCTTCACGTGCTCCATGGCGCCGAGCCTCACGGTACGCCTCGCGGTACGCCTCCGGGAACACCCTTGGTACGCCTCGCGGGACGACGGTTGGGCACGGACTGGAGAGCACGGCGGGCCCCGGGCTCCGACCTCACTCCGGCGCGGCTAGGACCTCCCGTTTCCCTCCCCTCCGCTCCCCGCGTGACCGCCGCTTCCTCCTCCTCTCCTCCTCACTCACTCTTTCCCTCTACCTTTCTCCATGCACACTTTTTCTCCATTTTCCCCTCACTCCCCTGCCATCCGGTTAACAAGTGTCACCCGGTCGCCATCCCGGCGGGGTCCCACAGCTGGTCATATAGTTCATTGTCTCGCCTTCACTCCCGTGAGGTCGTCCTCCTGGTCGTTACCCCGGCGACTGCGTGCAGAAGTCCCGTGGGGGCCCCTCCTCCTCCTCCTCCACGTGCGTCTTGCGTCTCCTCGGGTCCTTTGTCCCCCCCCCCCCCCTCTCCGCCTCCTAGCGGTGCGCTATGGTATACTCCGTTCTCCGACCGCAGCCCGCTGCACGCGATACTGTGCTGTGCGCTCCTGGCGGGCCGGGCCTATCCGGACGCGCACTCTGCATGGGCGGCGGCGCGGCGGCCCCGGCGTCCCTCGGGAGTGTCCCGAGGTACCCGGAGGCATCCCGGAGGCGGCCCGGACCAGAGCGAGAGGAGGGGGTAACGCGGTTCAGTTCGCAGCCGCGGAGCGGTGCCCTGCGGAGACCCATGCAGGCGCACGGCATCGCAGTAACAATGACCCGCGGAGCTCGCGGCTCGCGGGGCGGAGGCGAGGCGTCTCGCGGCGCGGGGGCGTGCGTGCGTGCGTGCGTGCTCGTGCGTGCGCGAGCGCGTGTCCCCGTGCAGTTCCACCAGCGCAGCACGACGACAATGAGAGAGAGAAAGTTATTGTATTCATTTTCGCGACTCGCGCGGTAGTCAGTCATTCAGTCAGACTGCCTGTCTGTCCCGCGGAGTCACAATGTGACGGCGACGGGAAAAGGCTCAAGCTTAGCTGCGCGGCGCCGCGCGGCGGGCCATGCTCTGACGTCCGAGGCGGGTCCTTTTACGTTGCCGACGGGAGGCTGGCGACGACGTTACCTGCGCTGTTCGTCGTTCAACTCCAGGCGGGTCGCCTCGCGGGTCTTGGCCCCAAGCCTATTTAAATTTGCTCGAGGTGCTTGGCCATCGCGGACCCCGGTCACGGCGTGGGCGCGACGCTCGTGAACGAGCCGCCCGCGCGGTTGGCCACCCATCGGCCGCCGCCGCGAGCAGGGCTGCCTCCGCGCGCCGAGCCGGGCTGAGCTGAGCGACCTCCGACCGCTCGGGTATTATTGACAACATTCCACGCCTCCGACGCACGCCGGGTCCTCCTCTCGAGTGGCAGTTCCGAGAATGATCACTCGCCACACGCCGCCGGTCATCACGACGATTAATTGCCCATATTGCTCGTCCAAAGTCCGGTGGCGCGAGCGGCTTATCTCGCGGCGCGCGCCCGGCGGCCAGCGCTTCGAGCACCTCTAGCACCTCTAGCACCTCTAGCGCGTCATTTCCATCGAAATCTGGCCATTATCTCGGCGAAGGTACGACTATACACAAACGCCTAGAAAACCGTTGTGTAATCTTAAACTTGAGGACCCTTATTAATCCTACATGTCTTTCGTGTGAAAGTAAAGCATAATGACACACAGGCGGGAAGCAAATTTCCTCTTGTCCTTGTTTATTTATTTCCTTGTTATAAAGATACAATTTTCTTGTTGACGAGACTACATGTGTTGGGATAGTCGACGCAAGGCCACCTGCCAAACTGTCTTCCCTTTCTTGTTTGTCCGCCCTCAACAGAGTCCGCCTCCGCGTTCAGTGCAGTGCAGCGCACTCCACGGCGTTTAACATATGCGCCTCCCCGAGATGCCTCCTCAGCGGCCGCTTGTCCTTATCTTGCCGCCCCCGCCGTCCTATCTCAAGGCGCTGCCGCGGTAGCCGCCTGGCTAGATAAGCCCTTCGGATTGAAATGGGATATAAAAAGGCCCTCGTCGTGATTTGGCGCCCACCCCACCACACGCGGCTCAACCATGTGGAGGCTCCTGCTGCTGTCTGTCGCCGTCTCGGGCGCCCTGGTGAGTGCTGCGGCTCCAGCAGCCCGCTGGCTCGGCCCGGCCCTCCACTCGCTGACGCAGACTTCCTCCCCGTGTTTCAGGCGCTGTCGCCCCTCCAGTCACAGGTCCACCTCCCCCTCTCCGCGGCCAGGCCCATCCCCCAGAACAGTAAGTAGAGCGGGCCACTTTGGATGTACTTTATTTCTCCACGTTCTGTCCCTGCCCTTCTGCCTTCCTGTGAACCTCGTGGCTGAAAAACCCCGCCGTATTGTAGTTGTACTGTACCCGCATCTACCGTCTCTGAGCATGGCGCCTGTCCAAGAGCGAGTAGGCCACCCGCCCGTACGGGCGCGTGCGACACAGCGTAACTACGAGGTTCCACAGGGTTTTTAGTTGCCTGCCCGGTACTCAAGAGATCGCCAAGAAAGTACGTCCGTTTTTCTCAGATTCACTCGACGTACTGTATTACCGTAGCCAGCGCTCGCAGCCTGCAAGACTCGGGATAGGCCACCCCGCAGTGCACGCATGCGCTGCAGGCGAGATGTTGCCTACATAGCAGGCGCTATGAGAGCTTGCTCGCTGAACCGAATGGCGGGCGTTCTTTTTGTACGATTCCTAATGCACTGGCCGTTTGCGCAGTCCCCGCCCTGCGCATCGTTGGAGGCAACGAGGCTGCCCCCGGCCAGTTCCCTCACCAGGTCGGCATCTGGATCTACAAGCACAAGAGCAAGTTCTTCTGCGGCGGCTCCATCCTGAACCAGAACACCGTCATCACCGCCGCCCACTGCGCCGAGTAAGCAGTGCTCTTGTTCATTAAAAAACAAATGTTCCGATCACGACCGTTGAATCTCTCCTCATCCTCATATCCTGTGTTTTTCTCACCAGGGCCGGAGACAGCTTTGAGATTGTGTTCGGCGCGCACCACATCAGGAAGGACACCTCCGTGGTGAGGGAGACAACCAAGAAGCTGGTGCACCCCAAGTACCAGGACGACGGCCACATCTCCAACGATATCGCCCTCCTACACTTTGACGTGCCGATTGATTACAGTAAGTTTCGGTCGAAGTTGGTCGGTTCGCCCTTCCTTGGCTTGCCTAATGTTTACTAACGCAACACGTCATCCCTGCTCCCCCAGCTGAGACCATCCAGCCCATCAGGCTCCCCAGCAAGAGCCAGGGCAGCCTCTGGCACGCGGAGGTGACCGCCAGTGGTTGGGGCCTCCTGCACACCGGTAAGTACACGGCGTAAGGCCGCCTCGCCGCCTCGCGCGCGCAGCCGAGTGGAGTGTGACCGCGGGCTCGCTGTTTCCAGACGCAGACTCCGTCGCCGACACGCTGCACTTCGTCAAGTCGCGCATCGTGACCAACCTGTACTGCAAGGTGCGCTACTTCCTCAACTACGTGCGCGACACCAACGTGTGCATATCGGGCTGGTGGGCCAAGGGCACCTGCGAGGGCGACTCTGGCGGCCCGCTCGTCGTGTACGAGAAGGACGGCAAGCCCACCCTGGTGGGCCTCACCTCGTTCGGCATCAGCCTCGGCTGCGAGGTCTCCTGGCCCTCCGTGTTCACGCGCGTCAGCAGCTACGTGGACTGGATCGAGGCGGGCATCAAGGAGCTCTCCGGACAGTGAGCGCCCAGTCGTGCGACACGAAACAAACCACTCAAAAAAAACAAACTTGAAAAAAAATAAAAATAAAAGCAACATATTTTGAAATGACACAGAAGTGCCTGTTTGTGCCTCGCTTTCCAGTGTTCCATTCATTGGCGCCGCTGCGCCCTCGCCGGCCCCACCTTTACCTTGTCCGATAGGCCCGGCCGCCCCTAGCAGCGCGTCCCGCCCGGCCGCTTCCTGTCAAAGACAACGCGTCTATTAGCGCAGCCCGTAAGGGGGCGTGCGCAAATGCTTTCTTTTCTAGAAGGAGCGGTGCTCTTTGTTGACGGAATTTGTGTTGTAAAGCGAACTTTTTGCGGCGATGCCATTATACAAGTCGGCTGTTCTAAGCCTCCTATTTTGTCTGGTCACAAACTCTGCACCGTATGCAATTGAGGAGTTGCATGGAAGCACATCATTAGGGAAGAAGAACAAGGGGACCGGAAACTGGTATGAGAAATTGAGCGGTTAACCGATCAGTGCTAAACAGCATTAGCGGCGCTCATCGTGGATTTGTCAACGCTACAATTTCACATTCTATTTCCGATATTCTTTTACTTCTTTCCTGGTCGTCTGCTTCGAGGCAATTCCTCTATCGTGCCGAACGGGCTGGCCACCCTCACCCACCATCACGCCTTGTGGTCCCGTGTGACTATGCCCTGTAGTATTTATTGGTGGAGTATTGTTGTAATAGGACTTATATGACGCTTTTAACAGAACGAAACAGAAACTCGAAAAGCACGTGGAAAACTACTCCACCCGCTAGAAGAAATGGAATTGCGTGGTGCGCGTCGTTTAAACTCGGCACTGATTAGTGGCGGGAGCCAAGTGAGATGACGCCAACAAGAGCGACAACAGGGCGAGGCAGATCATCGGTTTCTGACGGAAAGGGCGAGGGAGCAGGACGGGGCCCTCCGGAAGCAGCCCGTCGCGCTTCCGCCCGGGCCGCGGCCAGCAGGCTCGCCAGCAGGTGCGTTGTCCAGCGCGGGGGCCGCCGCGATAGCGCCTCGACGCGCAGCTATAAGTCGCGCCGGAAGCGGCCGCGCGGCTCAGAGGGAGTCCAGTCCAGCCATGCCCAGGTCCCTGCGCGCCCTGCTCCCGGCCGTCATGCGGGTGTCCGTCGCGGCGCTGTTGGCGGGCTGGCTGTGCGCCGCCCGCGCCCAGGTGGGTGCCCTAACGGTGTCGATGCAACGTCGTGCCACACAAGTGGAATCCGTGGTGCTGCACTAGTTTTTGTTTTGATGCCCGAGTTGGGCAGCTGCTAAGAGGGGAACGTGGCTAATTTCTGGTGCAGGAGACCGACTGGTCGAGCGTCCGTCTCAAGACGGGGGAGCCACAGCTGCTCCTCCAGCACGTCATGGACGTCGAGATGGAGGGCGTCGACTACCCCGACAACGCGTTCGTCAGCCGCGGTGAGTCCGACGGTCCCGGTGGGCGCCCGGTGGGGAGTGGGTAGGCAGCCCAGCCGACGCGCGCGACCGGCTGGCGGCCCGTCGCCGTCCTCCGACCGCGGCGGCCGCTGAGACCCTCCTTACGTCAACATTGACGGTGGTGTTACTGTCACTTTGTTGCAGTGGGAGAGACGCGCTCCGGGGGTGACGCGGCCAGCTTCCGGATCGTGGCGGGGCAGGAGGCCGAGCCGCACCAGTTCCCTTGGCAGGTGGGCATGCTGATCCAGGGCGAGGACGGCGAGATGTTCTTCTGCGGCGGCTCCCTGCTCACGCCCGAGTGGGTGCTGACCGCCGCGCACTGCGCCGAGCCGTGAGTACGCTGCCGCCAGCCTCGCCTGCGCGTCCTCGGCAGCACCACCCTCAACCCCACCCTCAACCCCACCCTCTGCGCAGCGGGTACATCTTCGAGGTGATCCTGGGCGCGCACCGCATCCGGGAGCGCGAGGAGAGCCAGCAGCGCTTCAAAGTGAAGAAGACCGACTCGACCGTGTTTGTGCACCCGGAGTGGGACGCAGAGAAGACGGCCAACGACATCGCCCTCATCAAGCTTCCCAACGCCGCCAAGCTGAACGGTGCGTCCTGCCGCTGCCCCTTGACGCACTCCTGTACCGAGTGTAAAGGCTAATACCCCCCCAGTGTTGCGGGTTTGCATATACCCAAGGGGCTATGGTGCCTTACGGGCAGATCGAGTAGGCAAACTCACAACACTGTGGTTTAATGCCTTGGTCCATTGCCCTCTGGCCCATAAAATATCTTATGTCTTTGTGAAAGAACATTATTTTCTCTCGAAAATGTTGCGTTTTTAGCACACCTTTTATGTCCTTTGGACAAATCTGTACGATCTTTTTGTGCACCCCTGACGTGACTGTTCCAGAGTACGTCCAGCTGACGCGCATCCCTTCGAAGCAGCGCGCGGAGGCCTCGTTGTGGAACAAGAACGCCACGATGAGCGGCTGGGGCAAACCCAGCGATTGTAAGTGTGCCACATGTCTGCTCAAAATGTTATTTTTATTTATTTTCCCGAAATGCTTTTCCTGAAAACTACTCTTACGGTTGATACTTTTAAGATCACACAAAACCTGTTTCGTTTCAAAAACTGTTTTCAGCCGCAGAGTCCATATCGCCAGTGCTTAGGTTCGTCGTGACGAGGATAGTGTCCAATTACTACTGCAATTTCCGATACATGTTCCTCATCATAAAGGACACCAACATTTGCGCCTCCGGATTTTCCGGGAAGAGCACCTGCAACGTGAGCGCTACAACTAGCTTCGTGAGCGCTGGCCACCGCTCCGCCGCTCGGTCTCGCGGTTTGATCACTCACCGTGTTCTCCTTTCGCAGGGAGACAGCGGCGGTCCGCTCACGGTACCGGACGCTGACACCAAGCCCACGCAGGTCGGCGTCACCTCCTTCGGCATCGGCCTGGGCTGCGAGAAGTACTGGCCGCCGGCCTTCACCAGGGTCTCGGCCTACCTGGACTGGATGACCAAGATCACGGGCGGAGGCTTCCATGACACCACAGACCTGGGGCCGCTGAGCTCCAACGGCACCCTTTGGTGAGGACGCCCGTCGGCCAAAGGCTGTCGGACTGCAACTCGGGAGCTCAGAGCGGACGGCCAGTGTCACCACGGGTCTCACCACCACGGGTGTCACTACGGGTGTCACTACGGGTGTCACCACGGGCGTCACCACGGGCGTCACCACGGGCGTCACCACGGGCGTCACCACGGGTGTCCACACGGGTGTCCACACGGGTGTCCACACGGGTGTCACCACGGGTGTCACCACGGGTGTCACCACGGGTGTTGCCACGGGTGTCACCCCCGCCCCGCACGGGGACTGGCGTCAAGGGCGCCGCGCCCCCGCAGGCATCAGCAGGTGACTCAGCAGTAATGTTTGACGCGCGTCGACCATCTCTCGCGGCAGTATATTCTCTTTGCCAATATTTTTATTATGCTTTGTTCTCAACGATACGTACTGTCACGCGGGCAAGCCGACGACCAGAGGCTCGGCAATATTTTTTTACGATACAAATAAATAAATATGCCGATTCCTATAACGGATTTGAGATTTCAATTGTGTATTTTTATGACAGAAAAAATGTCTGTCAGAAGTGGGATTCGAACCCACGCCCACAGAAGTGGACTGCGACCTGAACGCAGCGCCTTAGACCGCTCGGCCATCCAGACTTGTTGTGATCGGTTGATTATTGTATACAGTTTGTACAGCGTGTCACCCTTTTTAACATTATTAAATCTCGGCACCGTTAAAGTATTAAAAAGTTAGTGTCAGAAGTGGGATTCGAACCCACGCCCACAGAAGTGGACTGCGACCTGAACGCAGCGCCTTAGACCGCTCGGCCATCCTGACCTACATGTCAAGGCCGAGCGGTGGGGCTTACCCTCGCGGCGCTCCCCTGGCGCTACGTGGCGCCCCGCCCTGCCTCGCGCCTCGCCGGCTCGGCAAGAGGGGCCGGGCCCGCTCCGCTCCACGCCCTGCGCGCACGCGCACAGCCACGCCGGCCGCGCCGCTCCCGAGCCGCCGCGCCAGCTGAGCGGGTTGAGGGCCCTCTTCTCCTGCTGCACGCTCGCCCTCGCTGCAGGCCCGGACGTGTCCGCGGGCTGCGCTGTGAGTCACTCGTGTGCCGCAGCCTTGCTCTACTCGGGCGGGTAGTAGTATCGGCATCGGCCTCTCCGACGAAGTGATGCAATGCTACTCGCGGACGTCATGCAAGCAGCCGAAACCGAACCGAGGCACGCAGGCTCGGCCGGCAGCAGGCTGGGGTCAGCACGGCGGGAGCGCAAACAGCTACAAGCCCGCGGCCGTGCCTCTCCCTATCACACGTGCACGGCCCAGCGCGCCCAGACCTCTACACCCTTATCACCTGACCAGGTGGTGAGCGCGAGTTTCCTCCTGCACGGTGTCGCTATCTGCTGGAGGAAATTGGACGGAGCCTTGTGGTCAAGCAGCAGCTGCCGCTGTCTCTTGAACCGCAGTTCTTACAGGTACTTATTTTGGAAGGGGGGGGGAGGGGGGTCACTGACACGGGTTCATTGAGAAAGAAGCAGGACGGTGGCTATGACTAACGCACGGGCCCGCGCGGGCTGTCCGTTGGCGAGCCGCCCTGGAGCAGTCCCCTCCTCCGCACCCACCCGCGTCTCGCCCACTTGCCCAGGTCGCCTGCGAGTGACGTCAGGCCCCCCGAGCCCCGTTGCGATTTCACCACTCGGTTGTCACGCGGTCGAACATACAGGCTGTCCGATTGGCCCCTTAGGCCCCTCACTATTGTTTTTGTAACGCTGCACCGCATGCAGGCGTGCCGGCGGGTTGCCTACTCACTCGACGCCGCGGTGAGCGAAGGGCGAAGGTACGCCAAATCCTCGTGCCAGTCCCGCTCGCACGCTGGCATGCGGTACAGTATTTATCACACTTAGTGGGGGCAAAGCGTATACTGGGCGTTTCAGTGCACGCGGCCGTGCTAGTGGGTTTGCTAGCTACTCCCTGCCCACAAGGCGCCCGCAAGGCGCCATGGGCCTGAAAGAGGCAACCCTGCCTCGCATAGGCGCGTACTCCGAATCAGTCGATAAAGCATTCCGGTAAAGCTGAAATACAGAAGAGCACGGGGAAGAAGAAAACGGAAATCGCTATTCTTTAGCATGGTGACTTCCGTTTTCTTGTTCCTCGCATTCTTCTGCATTTCAGCTTTCCCGAAATGCTCTATCAGCGGGTGGAAACTCTGATGCCGCTCTGAAACAAGGATCGACTTTTAGGCTTTACCCCGGAAAACGCCATTTTGTCGTCCTTAATGTGAGAAAACGGAGAGACCAACTCAAAATCTGAGCACAGCTATGAATTCAGCGTGTTGTTCTGTGTGCATT